TCTGTCTCTCTCTGCCTTTCTGGTGAGAGCACGTGCCCTATAGCAAAAACCTTTAAAAAATAAAAAAGACTACATAGAATTCCATTCTAAGGATTATTATAATTTAAGTTATTGTTGGACATGTAAATTCATTTTTTTTTTACTACGTAAACTACATTATAATGAACACCCAGTAGCTTGATCCTTATGTTATGGTTTGAGTTTTTTAAAGATAATTTTTCTTTTTTAAAGATTTATTTAATTTTACTTATTGTTATTATTTTTTAAGATTTGATACAAGCACTCACCAGAGACAGTGAGATGAGAGAGGGAAAGTGAGAAAGCAAGGCACCAAGTTTGAGACTCAAACCACGGTCAGCCATGTGGGAGTCCAGTGCCTTAACCACTACACCACCTGCTGACCCTGATCATTTTCCTAAGTGGAATTGCTGGGTCAAAGCATACACAGTGTTTTGAACAATGCTGATTTCTACTGCTAAACATCCTCAGAAATACTGTGCCAATTAGCATGCTTATCCATAGAGTACAAGAGTTCCCTTCATTACAAAAAACATGGGTACTTTCCTTTTTTTCCAATACCATACCCCCAAAATTTCATATTACTTCTTTAATTTGAATTTCTTGGTTTAATTTTAGGATTTTTCTATGTTTCTAGGCCAGTTGATTTATAGCTATATATGGCAATTAAGTGTAATAAGCTTTTTAAAAAATTTATTCTACAAATATTTTTCTCATTTTAATTTTGTAGGATTTTTAATGTAATTTAAAAATTTTTAGTGAATAAAATGAATTTTTACTTTTTATTTATTTTAGTTTGGCTATAGGGCATGTGCTCTCAGCAAAGAGAGACAGCAACAAAGAGAGAGGAAAAGAGAGAAATCACTCCTCGGGGGAGCTATGCCACAGTCCCTTCTCCTCTAGTCTCCTCTCATGAGTTTGAGCACACATGTACATGCACCTGGTATGATTTTTAAACTACCAGGTATGGGACTTGAACCATGTAGTTGGTCATATGGGATCCAGTCAGCTTAACCTCTTTGCCTCTTTACTTGATCATTTATTTCTAGGGCCTTGCTATAGTGTAAACATGTCCCCCTGAAATGTTCTGCCACTACAACGGGATTAAGTGGGTGAAAAGTTAATGTGACTACTGAGTTGAAAGCTGGAGCCTTTGGGAGATTAGTGACTGGGTGTTTAGGTGAGGCCTCCATGATGGAGTTCTGGTGATATAAAGACAGGGAGCGAAGCAGGCAAAAGCCACGTGGCTACAGACCACGCTTTGCTCTGCTTAAGATTCTGCCCATGTGCTCTTAACCACCACACCACCTGCTGCCTGAATCTATGTACTTTTAAATTTTTTTTAAAAGGCATTGAAGTATGGAACCAGCAGTTAGTGTAATGGCTATGTCGCTGGACTCCCACGTAGTCAACCGCGGTTTGCATCCCGGACCCGGTGGCTTAAAACTCACGCCGGGCGCGTGTGCGTGCGTGCCCAAGATCCCGAGAGGAGAGTGGAGAAGGGATTGCGGCATGACCATCCCCCAGGGGGGTGATTTCTCGCTTTCTGTCTCTCTGTCTCTGTCTGTCTAGCGAGCGCACGTGCCCTATAGTGAAAATCTCTCCAAAAAAAATAAAAAGGCATTGAAGTATGTATTGAGACTTTTTTCCCCCCAATTAATTGCACTGACTGAAATGTATACCACTTAGAAAGACTACATAGAGGGACCAGCAGTTGGCGTAATGGCTATGTCACTGGACTCCCATGTAGTCGAACACAGTTCAAGTCCCAGACCCGGCAGTTCAAGTCCCAGACCCGGAGGCTTAAACTCATACTGGGAGTGTGTGCATGCATGCCCAAGATCCCGAGAGGAGAATGGAGGAGAAGGGATTGCAGTGTGGCCAACCCCCCTGGGGGTATTTTTCACTTTCTGTCTCTCTCTGCCTTTCTGGTGAGAGCACGTGCCCTATAGCAAAAACCTTTAAAAAATAAAAAAGACTACATAGAATTCCATTCTAAGGATTATTATAATTTAAGTTATTGTTGGACATGTAAATTGTTTTCATTTTTTTTTTACTACGTAAACTACATTATAATGAACACCCAGTAGCTTGATCCTTATGCTAATGTTTGAGTTTTTTAAAGATAATTTTTCTTTTTTAAAGATTTATTTAATTTTACTTATTGTTATTATTTTTTAAGATTTGATACAAGCACTCACCAGAGACAGTGAGATGAGAGAGGGAAAGTGAGAAAGCAAGGCACCAAGTTTGAGACTCAAACCACGGTCAGCCATGTGGGAGTCCAGTGCCTTAACCACTACACCACCTGCTGACCCTGATCATTTTCCTAAGTGGAATTGCTGGGTCAAAGCATACACAGTGTTTTGAACAATGCTGATTTCTACTGCTAAACATCCTCAGAAATACTGTGCCAATTAGCATGCTTATCCATAGAGTACAAGAGTTCCCTTCATTACAAAAAACATGGGTACTTTCCTTTTTTTCCAATACCATACCCCCAAAATTTCATATTACTTCTTTAATTTGAATTTCTTGGTTTAATTTTAGGATTTTTCTATGTTTCTAGGCCAGTTGATTTATAGCTATATATGGCAATTAAGTGTAATAAGCTTTTTAAAAAATTTATTCTACAAATATTTTTCTCATTTTAATTTTGTAGGATTTTTAATGTAATTTAAAAATTTTTAGTGAATAAAATGAATTTTTACTTTTTATTTATTTTAGTTTGGCTATAGGGCATGTGCTCTCAGCAAAGAGAGACAGCAACAAAGAGAGAGGAAAAGAGAGAAATCACTCCTCGGGGGAGCTATGCCACAGTCCCTTCTCCTCTAGTCTCCTCTCATGAGTTTGAGCACACATGTACATGCACCTGGTATGATTTTTAAACTACCAGGTATGGGACTTGAACCATGTAGTTGGTCATATGGGATCCAGTCAGCTTAACCTCTTTGCCTCTTTACTTGATCATTTATTTCTAGGGCCTTGCTATAGTGTAAACATGTCCCCCTGAAATGTTCTGCCACTACAACGGGATTAAGTGGGTGAAAAGTTAATGTGACTACTGAGTTGAAAGCTGGAGCCTTTGGGAGATTAGTGACTGGGTGTTTAGGTGAGGCCTCCATGATGGAGTTCTGGTGATATAAAGACAGGGAGCGAAGCAGGCAAAAGCCACGTGGCTACAGACCACGCTTTGCTCTGCTTAAGATTCTGCCCTCTGCCATGCTGTAACCTCACTAGAAGTTAGACCCTGGACCTCCAAGCTGTGAGTTGAATAAACCTATATTTCTTTATAAAATCAGTTGAGTATTTATATTAGCAATGCAGTAACAGAGTAAAACAGAAATCATATCTGCAGAATCCTTTTTCTTTCTCAGCTTATATATATTAATTTTATAATTTCCTACTATTTTTTATGATTTTATTCATTTTACTTCAACCTTTGAGACGTGTGTAGAGGGTCTAACTGTATTTTTTTAAATAAGAATTTTATTGAGATAGAATTCCCATACTATAAAACTCACCATTTTAATTTAATTTTAATTGCCAGAGGGTGTGTGTTCTTGTCAGAGACAGATAGTGGGAGAAAGCACTTACCAATAGGCACTTACCACACTGCAAGCCTCTCTCCTCTATTTCTCTATTCTGTTGGGATTTGGGGCATGCACACACATGTGCCTGATGTGTTTCTCAAGCCACCAAAACTCAAACCATGGTCAGCCATGTGGAATCCAACTCCCTTAACCATTAGGTCACAAGGCTGTTACTCATTTATCTATATATATTTTTTTGTTACTTGTGCTTTTTGTGTCATATTTAAGAAATTGCTGCCTGACCCAAGAACATAAAGATTTATCCCTATCTTTTCTTCTAAGAGTCTTACAGTTTTAGCTCTTACATTTATTTGTATGTCTAATAACCTGTTCCACCATTCCTAGCCACCTGTGCTGCTAGGTATAGACATCTGACTAGGTTTTAGCCAATGGGATGTAAGCAGAAGTATGTATGCAACCCCTAGATAACGTTCTCATAAAGAAAATACATCCCTCCACCAACATTTTCCCCTTCCCTTAGGCTTAAATACGGATGTATATGGAGCCAGCTTTGGCCAGGTGAACACGAATATCTGCTCAGGAGTGGAGAACAGTAAGACAGATGAAACTGGGTTCTTGGATGACAGCATGGAGCAGAGTTACCACCCACCGCCCACTTAGTTTTGAGCTATTATGAGTTAGAGAATAAAATCTGTATTTCATTTAAACCACTTGGTTTGGGAGTCCCTTTGTTACAACGGCTTAACATATATTATGCTAATTATTACAACACTTTTAATATATGTTTAGTTTTTTTTAAAAATATATATATATTTACTAGAGGGTATGTGCACTCATAGAAGACAGAGAGAGAGAGAGGGAGAGAGAGAGAGAGAGAGAGAGAGAGAGAGAGAGAGAGAGAGAGAAAGGAGGGAAGAGAGAGAGAGAGAGAGAGAGGAAGCACCCCCTGAAGGATCCCCATTTCAGCCAGCCCTGCACCATGGGAATACACATACCTGACATACTTAGGGAGGTGTCCAGATTTGAACCAGGAACCTTCCCATGTGGGAGTGCCTAGCAAATCTGTCTCATTTTACTGTTGTATCACTGGCCTCACGATGTGATGTTTTGATATACACACACATTGTAAAATGATGATCACAATTAAGCTAATTAACATATCCATCACCTCGTGGTTTCATTCTTTTAAAGAATTATTTTTATTTAACTTTATTTATGTATTTATTTTAATCTGACCAGAGAGGGACAGAGTGAAAGAGGGAAAAAGAGAAAGTAGGCTGCCAGGTCTGGGACTAGAACTGTAGTCGGCCATGTGGGAGTCCAGCACCCTTAACCACCACACCACCTGCTGGCCCTTGTGTTTTCTTGTGTGTGGTGAGAACACTTACTATCGACTCTTTTAGCACATTTCAAGTGAAATAATGCATTCTTCTTAGCTATCATTTCATAAATTTGCGTGTCATCCTTGCACAGACACCATCCTCATCTTCTCTGTGTCATTCCAATTTTAGTATCTGAGCTGCCAAAACAAGCATTCCTTAATTTTCCATTCTATTTTTACTGATCTGTCTATTCTTATACCATAAGCACAGCTTCAATTTCTGTAGTGTATAATACATTTATACACTACAGGGGGAAGGAGGTTTCACATTTTTAAAGCATTTTCTGTTTTGTCTTTTTTTCTGCATTCAACCTTTCAATGAATTCAGGCTAATTTTGTCAACTTCTACCACTTTCTTATTCCCACCACAAAGGCAAAGGGTCCCTTCCATCCAAAGTTGTTTCTTAGAGAGTTTCTTCATGTGCTAAAGTTTTATGTTACCATAATGACATGATCATGGTGCATGTGGGCTCCTATTCTGCAGCTGGTGCCCAGGAGTCTGTCCAGCATTTAAAACATGTTCACTTCACCATTACTGGTGAACAGTCCCACTGAGGCAAAGCACAAGAATGATGGCTATGCTTACACTCCCAGGGACACTGGGATTTTAAGTGGCAGTAGATAGGCAAACATACCTGAACAGTACATGACATAAGTCATGGCAACAAACACAAAATCATAGAGTTACAGCTGCCCTTAGCTCTTGGTTCATGTTAAGGGAGCCCAGGTGAGAGAGAGGAGCAGGGGACGGTGGTGTTGTTACTTCTCATAAGGATGGAGTGAGGTTATGTTGCTTGTTGCCAGGGGGGTGGTGTTAGTGGGGCTGCTGCTAATTGGGTCGTTTCTGATTTTTCCTATCCAGTAGTTAGAAATACATCACTTTGGGAGGATACTTAATTCAGTAATACTCAGGGTTCAGTGCCCACTGTTACAATGTGTTTGCTTTCTCCCTCCATTGCTAGAGTATAAGTGAAAGTAGTTTTGCTAACAGAATATGCAATTGGTCCACTACTTCATTGAAAGAATTCAGGATGCTCAATTTTCCTTTCTAAAATTGATTTTCACTTCATATTCTCACAGATGGCCCTCCACTTTTTGAATCTGTTACGGCATTGTAGTGAAGGCTATGCACAGTGAGAAGGGAAGAAAACTACTTTCTGACCAGCAACACCATTTTTTTTAAAAGAATTATTTAATTAAAAATTAATTAATTAATTAATTTTTGGAGAGGTTTTTGGTATAGGGTGCATGTACTTGCCAGAAAGACATAGAGATACAGACAGACAGAAAGTGAGAAATCACCCCCCAGGGGGATGGCCATACTGTATTCCCTTCTCCTCTTTCATTCTCCTCTCAGGATCTTGGGCATGCGTGCACACATGCCCGGCATGAGTTTAAGCCACTGGGTCCAATTTGAACTGTGGTTGCTACATGGGAGTCCAGTGACATAGCCATTACACCAACTGCTGGTCCCAAGAATTATTTAATTTTATTTGTTTTTATTATTTTTAATTTGACCACAGTGAGAGAGAGAAAGTGAGAAAGCCAGCTGCCAGGTACAGGACTTGAACTACAATCGGCCATGTGGGAGTCCAGTGCCCCAACCACCACACCACTCGCTGGCCTCAGACCACAAGCACCATTTAACACATTTGCCTCTGCTTCATTTTTGAAAAGCTTCTAAAAAGAATGATCTAAAGTAGCTTAGTTTCAGAGGTTAGTTTAAAAGGTCCTTCAATCTCTCAGTGAACAAATTAAAATTACAAAAAAATTTAAAAATAAAAACAATAAAAAATTTAAGTATCAAATCTATTTGGACTAGCAGTGTGTGTAAAGCATACTAGGTATTAGTCCATCTGAGCTCCATTTATGCAGCATTCCTTGGCTTCTGCTATGGCTTAACATTCTTTTAATGTCAATGGAAAAATAAAAATAAACAATAAAAAACGCACACACACGTGTGTGTATAGTTTATTTTGAGGGAAATAATCAACTTCACGCATTGAGGTTACAAAATACAAAAGGAGTTGATCCATGTCAATTAAAAGCATTGCTGTGAATCATTGCTACTTATATTCTCATCAAACACAACCTGCATCTCTTTGACCAATTTATTGACACAATTTATCCACCATTTATGAAAAGCAATCTGTGATACAGGGAAAAGGGAAGCCCATGTGACCTAAGACTACAGGTTATGAAAGGATAGGCTCTTGATCTGTCCTAGGATACTATTGCTGGCCCAACTGTCATTGCCCTTCCCTCATTCTTGCCAATAACATGGCCCACCTCTGCCACTGCCTCATTTCTACTTAGTTCTGTGATTAAGACTTGGCATTAGGGCTGATGGGAGAGGGAGAGTTTCTTCCTGTAACTGACATTCCTAAGAGGCCATTATTCATTGTTTTTGGGATGACGAGGCCTCATATTAATACACACCTCAGGTAAAATATTTAGCTTGTCAACTCTTGCTTGGAAAGAGGGAGAGGAGTGTCTTGAAATGTTCTCACCAAGGCTAGAGGGAAAGGTGGAGAAGGGATTGTGGCATGACCATCCGCTATGGGACGAGCTATGCTTTCTCATTTTGCTTCTCTTTCTGTCTCTTTGGCAAGTGCCATGTGCCTTTGGCTAATTAAAACAATAATAAAAAAGAAACGGAATTGCTCTTGTAACAGTGTTTTGAGATAGTGGGATCTTTAAGAGAAGATTAGATCACATGGGCTGTGCCCTCATGTACAGATTAATGCCCTTTATCACGGAAACGGGTTACTCATCTCAGGAGTTTGGCCCCCTTTTCTGTCTCATGTGCTCTTGCCACATGATGCTTTCCATCATGTTTTGTTGCAGCAAGAAGGCCCTCACCAGACTTGGCCCGTCAGTCTTGGACTTCCCAGACTCCAGAACTGCAAGCCTAATACACTCTATAAACTATCCAGCCTCTCGTGTCCAGTTAGGCCTAAAGAAAATGAACTAAGACAATAGATAATAAACAATCAAATATGTAAACACAAGATTATTTCAGAGAGTGATCAGTGATGTGAAGGAAGTAACATATGCAAGGTGATTTCAGAAAGTGATAGTGATGTGAAGGAAGCAAAATACGCAAGATAATTTCAGAATGTGGTAAGTGATGAGAAGGAAGTAGAAGACTGATTTGATGGAGCCTGGTGACTACTTGTGAGCTGACAGTCACCAATCCCTCTGATGATGATGTTTAGTTGAGATCTCAATCGTGAGGAATGAATGGTGCTTCACATCTTGATTGCCTCTAGTTTGGTACAAAGCTTTCAGTTCAAGTTTCCTCTTCTCTGGCAAAGAGGTTCAGGAACTCAAAAAGGCTTTCTGCGCTGATATTTTCTCCATCTGTCCCTTTTCTGGGAAGGCATAGAACTGAATGAGCTCTATGACTCTGTTTTGCTCTCTGCTGTGCTCCCAGGCCCTAGAATTCATTCGCAAACACTTGAGGAGTGAATGAATGGAGTAACATCGAAACCTGAACCTGCCATCCTCCTTCAAATCGCCCCTCCCTATCACTAGTGAGTATAAATGATACCACCTGGGTCCTTGGCCAGGCACCTGGGTGTCCACTTTGACACTGCCTTCCTCTTCCACCCTGAGCTGATTAGATACCATGTCCTGCTGATTCATTTTCATGCTTGGATATTAGGTTTTGTCTTTCTGTTTCTTTATCTCTCTCTACCAATTGGGACAGCTTCTTAATGGAACTCCTTGCTTCAAGCCTGCTCCTCTCTGGTTAATGTTTCATACTCCACCCAAGGAATCTATGTAAAATATGAATCTGAAAGATCTTTCACTTAATATGCTTTGGTGGCTGCTAGCATCTTCCCAACCTTTTAGATGGTCTCAGGCTGGCAGTTTTGTGCCAGGCACCTCTCCAAACTTGTTTCATCTCTTGTCCCTTTTTTCTTTGCATCCCAACTCTGGTTGTCCCGACTGGTGCTGTCAGTGGTGGAGCTGAACTCAGCTGCAGATGGGAACTGAGGCAGCTGCTGGCTCCCATCACCCAGTAATGCAGAGCTTAACAGGAAGTGACAGGCAGGTATGTGAGCTTCCCCTGCTTTGGACCCACCTATGGCAAAGCTGGGCTTCATTACTGAATGAGAAAGGCCATAGGGTGGGGCCAGCAGATGGTGTAATGGTTACGTTGCTGAACTCCCACATAGTCGGTGGCAGTTCGAGTCCTGGACCTGGCGACTTAAAGCTCATGCTAAGTGTGTGTGCATGCCTGCCCAAAATCCCTAGAGGACAATGGAGAAGGGATTGTGGCATGGTCATCACCCCCCCACCCCAGGGGATGATTTCTCGTCCTCTGTCTGTTTCTCGAGTGCACACACCCTATAGCAAAAATTTCTCCTCCCCCCCAATAAAAGAAAAGGCGTTAGAGCCTTTCCATCAGGCTGCCTATAAAACACCAATCCTTGCCACTTGGGAGCAAAGGTATCCCAGAGAGCGTTGGGCCAAAAAACATGATGTGGACCCCTTACAAGCAATTTCATAAAGGGCTCCATGAAGCCAGCGTGCACTACAGCAGGAGAAAGACGTGTACTGTGCTCCCAGCAGCACAGCGGTATGGGCATGTAAGACACAGCCTGACTGCAGTTTGAACTTTCCTTCTTTCTTTTTAATTGCCAGAGGGTGTATGTGCTCACCAGAGACAAGGAGAAAGCAGCCCTCAATCCCTTCTCCTCTATTTCTCCATCCTGTTGGGATCTGGGGTATATACACACGTGCCCAGCATGTTTTTCAAGCCATGGGGCCAGGATTTGAACTGTAGTTGGCCATGTGAGATCCAGCTTCTTTAACCACTAAGCCATGGGGCAGCCTGGATGATCTTTTTTTCTTCTGAAGCAGCTGACCATGTGGCCTTTTCCTGGAGTCCAGATGCTTTCTTATGTAGCAGCCACTCCCCACCACTCCTCACTGGCTATTCAGTAGCTCAGGGCTCTCCAAAATGAGGGGTCCAGAAATGGACCCTGAGCAAAAGACCTGACTGAGCCAGATTTCAGCCTAGGGGTGCAGTTTGTTCATATGGGGGGTATGACTTTGGAAAGCAGGAGAGGACAGGTACTCAGTAAGGAACAGCTCCCTCCTGTGTTCAAAGAGGAGAATAAAGCATCTTGGTTTTAGCAGTCATTTTGTAGTAGAGATTGATTTGTCCTTCTGATGTGTTGTTTCCATAGAAGCAGGGTTTAACCTTTTAAATGAAGATTATAAAGCTACCTAATTCATTTAAAATTAGGCTTCAAGCATCTCAGTACTTAACGCTCAAGTGTTTCTGTGAGACTCGCTGCAGCCATGGATGTCACTGCCAAACAGAGCCTGCGACTTTCCAGCGTATGAAGACTCCCGTTCTCGTATGTTTGTTTGTTTCTTTATTTCTAAAATTAACTTCATAAGGAGGTACAACTTCTGTGGAAGATCACCAGGCTATTAATAAAAACCTTTTAATTAATGAGTAGCACCGACTTCTCTTCACAAATACAGGAAGACTGGCACACAGGCAAGACACATGCGGGTTCAATTAAAGTAATTTATTGTATTCTTCCAGAACAGACAGAAAGAGCATCTTAGGAGCTGATATCACAACACAATGTTATACACCATTTTCACAGCTAGCCTTGCATTGAATTCTTTTTTAAAAGAACATAGTAATTTTAAAAAATCTAAATATTTACATATTCATAAAACATATATACAGAAGATTGAGACATTATCCATAGATATGGATTTTCTTTTTGCTAAGAAAACCTATAAAAAGGATTTCTGAATATAGTCTGAATAGTAGTCACAGTAAGTAAACACAAATACAATTTTCATTTACAAAATATCATTTTACTGATGCAGTTTTGATGTGTGTTTCCAATTTGGGGATCCATTGCACATATTCTGTGAGTTGAGCGATTCTCACCCCCTCCTCAAGTATTGAAAACTCCAAGCTGGGGCCAGTCTTGGAAGGAAGTGATTTTGAAGGTTCACGGTGTACATTTAACAGGCCCACAGTTGTTAAGTCAATGTTTTACCTTCACTAGCAACATATCCCTATTTTAATAGAGTGGAAAGGTCACCAATTAATCTGTTCTGTGCCCTTACGAAATATTTTCTTCTGGAAGGCAGAAGGCAAATTTTAAAACATATGCCACAGAAAAACAAAAGCCCTGGTTAGTAGTACTGCATCAGGTCACTCGATCAAACCTAGACTGGTATCAGCAAAAGGATCACTTACTGGCCGGAAATGAAAAAGGCTAACTAAAACATAAGAAAGAAAGAATTTTTTGCACCTTCCTGTAGCCTCAAAAAGAAGATAAAGTCACAAATATATGAGATGTGACCATCTAGTAGTTAGACCGATTCCACCAGTTATATCTAACTCAGTTTTTTGTCACATTACAGGGATGCTTTGTATCATTTTCAGGTGATCAGCTCGTCTTCAGTGGAATATTGATTTCTTCCAAAACGGCCCTCCTATCTCTGGGTTTAGTTTTCCAGGGTGATACGACACACGTACCTTGGGTAGGGTAGTTAAGAAAATCCAGGATCGCCACTTGGCTCGGCCACTAAAGGGTTAACCGGCCCTGGGTGAATAGGAACTTCTTTCTGTTCCTTCCCCTCACCTAAGTGGTGGCTCTAACATTGCAGGGTTTGAAGAAACAAGTGCTGGGGGAGGTATGAAGCTGCGGGCACAGCAGTGTTTGCCTTGGGGTTTGGAGTTCTACAGGCCACACTTTTTTTTTTATGCCAAATTTTGGCCTTTGGGCCAAGCGCCAAAGATTCAAGGCAACTAGCTTTATGCAGTCAATGAGGTGTAAATGCAATCTTTCTAAATAAGATGATATTTTGAAGTTACCATCTTATTAGAGAAAGAAATCTGGAGCTACATATTTCTGTAAAGCAAATGCCCACATGGCAAGATAGTTTGGATTTTCATGTTAGTTTTATAGAAAAGTGGAAGGCATGTGTACTAGGAATCAAATGAACTATATAATAGTAGGTACATTTGTGACTGGTCGGTCGCCACACAATGCCAGACCCGGACCACTGAAATTTAAACAGTTGTTAGGTACCAGGCAGATAATCAGTTACTTTGAGTTTCTCACCTTTTGATTAGTTATTTCACCCCTGCTAATATAATTTACTATTGATAGAAGGGGTTTTCTTTCCTAAGAACTCATATGTCATTTTCACTTATTCAGTTATAAGTGGTTTTTTTCTGGGGGGTGCTGATGTCATAAATGATTTCATCTAATAGGTCAGAGTTGTCCTGTCTTCCAAAACAACTTTTTCTAAGTTGATCAAGTCCTGGTTAATTCTGGTCTTCATAACTGCTCTCTCAGTACTAGGAAGAGCCATTCTCCTTTATACCATATCTAAGCAATTTACATTAAAATAAATATGTTTCGAAACTCTCTATATTCACATTGAGGTTATGCATAAAAACAAGGAAAAGAGAACGGCTTTTTTTTTTTTATAGTGGACAATAAACTAATTAGACCATACACTGGACTTTTAAAGGATAACAAATCAACTCTAAAAATGATTTTTAAAAAAATCTTACACCAAATTGGAGGCTTGATTACCATACATTACAAAGAAAATAAATGAAACTATTCAAACATGACAGGCAAACTTCACGGAACACCCACACTTTGCAGGAACCTGAAATGCTACGTGGATCTTGGAGGAAATTCACACGGAAGAGTCACATATGCTAACGAACAAGGTCACTAATATGAACGTCTAGGCAATGAAACCTGGTTCTGTGTCCTCCGTGTTTTCTCTCCTGGTGTCAAATATATTACCTACAACAGAGACAAGAAAATGAAGGGGAAGGGCCGCTTCTCTAAGGCACAGTTGTACATTTTTCTACAATGTGACGAGATGGAGTATTCTGCACAAGTGGGGAACTTCCTGGGAGGTATCTGTGCACCAAGATTAAGTTGCAAAGATTTTAGCCAAAGCTTTAGTTGTGCCAAGATAAGCAATTTCAGGAATTAGACATTTGTAATGATTTTTTTATAGCAAAAGTCCACGAATATGGTTTACTATTAGAGTATATCCATATATTGTCCAGTAATAGAAAATGACTACATAAAATATGATTTACCTGCAAAACAGAGTATCGAGTAGCTATTAAAATAATGTATATGAAGATTTGTAATAAAAAAGGAAAATGCTTCTGATGTGAAAAAAAAAACAAAAAACCAGCAAACAAATTTTTACAAATTTGATCTCCTTTGTATAAAGAAAGAAATATAGAGAAAAGTCCGGGAAAGAACACTCAATAGTGATGGTCTTTGGGTGGTAAAGTAATTTGACCAGACAGACAGACAGACAGACAGACACGCACACACACACATACACACAGAGAGAGAGAGAGAGAGTGAGAAAGAGAGAGAGACAGAGAAAGTCACCAGGTCCAGGACTCGAACCGTGGTCAGCCACATGGGTGTGTCCAGTGCCTTAACCACCACACCACCTGCTGATCCTGTTTCTTATACTTTTATTAAACAAACAAACAAACTATATAGGGTTGCTACACTGGCTGGCCTAGTGGTTAAGAGAGCCAGATCTTATAGGACTGACTATGGTTCAAATTCCAATCCCAGATTTTTTTTTTTTTAAGAAGTATTTATTTAATTTTATTTATTTATTATTATTATTTGGTTTGGCAAAAAAGAGACAGAGAGAGAAGGGGAGTGAGAAAGCAAGCCGCCAGGTCCAGGACTCAAACCATGGTCAGCCATGTGGGAGTCCAGCACCTAAACCACCATGCCACCTGCCAGTCCCAGTTCCAGATTCTTGAGAAACACGCTGGGAATATGTGAATATATGTCCCAAATCTCAACAGGATGAAGAATGTAGGAAAAGGGATTGCAGCATGACCACGCACCACTGGGGGTTCTCTCTCTCTGATAAGCATGCACCATCTGGCAATTTAAAAAGGAAGAAAAGTATGTAAAAGAATGCCAATTCATGACCAAAACTGCTAAACCCAGATGAACATCCACCTATTTCAAATTCAGAAGCCAAGTCACATGTAAAATTTTTGAAAGCACAGTTCAGTTTTACTTTCTTTAGACTTTTAACTTTTTAAAATTAAAAAAATTTATTTGCCAGAGAGCACATGCATGCACTCACCAGAGAGACACAAAGAAACAGAGGGAGAGGAAGAGAGCACCCCCCCTCCCATGGGGAATGATCATGCTGCAATTCTTTCACCTCCATTTCTCCATCCCTCTGGATTTGGGGCACACGTGCACATGTGCTGGCTATGTGGGATTCACCTCACCTAACCACCAGGCACAGGCTGGCCCCTAGACTTCTCTTTTATTTTTTTTCAAATGCAAACTGTTCCCAGGTCCTGAGTGGGTTTCCTCCGTCATCCAGGCGGTCTCTCACCTGCAGCACTTACGTAGCTGCTTTTGCCTCACTCAGCCTGAGGACAGGCATTCACACACCAGAACCAATACAGAACTCAGTTCCCATGGTTGCTCAAAAGGCTAACTGAGCAGGGCTGAGGAAAGACAAATGATGAAACTGTATTTCTCTACTATAAGATCTGTATCCATTTTTGTTAACACTAGACAAATTGAAGACGGCTTACAGGTAATGGTTTGAAACAGATGTCATGTGACCACCCAACTGTATAACTGTAACCCTGCCCTGGTCACTCCTGGTTCAGAGACACTCTTAAGGATTTATACTGCTCTTCCTAACCTTACCCAACACATGAAAATTTGGAAGGAGGAAAAAAGGCCTTAACAAAGTGGTAAAGGCATTGCTTAATCTTTCCAAAGGACCAACTCTTGCCAGCTCAGATACTTGAGATAATGAAGGTTTGTATCAGAGCCCTGGGTTGCTCCTGTGGTTCTGACCAGTGAGGCTCAAGTCCACACATGGAGCTACACACACAAGGAAGGCGAAGTTCACCCTTCAGATGATCTTCTTATGGCACAAGGAGGTGGGTATTAGTCCTGGCACTGCATTCAGAGAAGCTGGCCGGACTGGAGATTTTACTTTAGAGAGAGAATCAAGAGGCATGCTAGACTATCGAGATTATTTCATTTTATTCCTGCAAAATTTGGGCACCAATCTGTGACTTCTTTCCCCCCTTACTAAATGATACTGTTTTTATCATGCTGTTTTGTAATTTGTATCAAGTATCTATCAATAGTCTCAGACCACTGGGTAGAATTTGAGAAAGGGCTTAAGTAAATGAGTATAAACTGCAGTGAACTTTGGGTAGGTTGATAATGAACATTCTAATTGTAAAGACTATGAGACATTAACGGGATCAGTACATCCATCATCTCCTAGGATCTTTAAAAACATGCAGAGAAAAGCTGGCTTTGGCTTAGGTCTAAGAAAGCTATACAGTGTCATGGCTGGGGAGTCGAGGGGCCAGAGTGCCGGCCAGGCCATCGGCCAGCCGTGAGACCTTGGGAAAGTCATTTAATGTTTCTGGGCCTCAGGCTTTTTTTCCTATAAAATAAAAGGACTGGATAAAAAGAAGGGATTGGACTAGATGATCTCTCAAGTTCCTTCTCATTCTCTGATTCCTTGACAAGTTTTTCAGTTCCATGAGGCTGTTCTAGTATCCCCCATGCTCCGTTTTCTCATCTGACACATCTCTGCCTCCATCTTCAGATGGGAAAATGTAAAGTTATATCACAGGGAATCATTTTCAGATAATAAAACCAAAGCCCATTACGTCGTACGACACAGAGAAGAAAAGGCAACGCATAAGCCCAGGGCCTAACTAGGGGTGGAAGGAGCTGGGTACAGGGGACTTGCCCTGGAAAACACAACTAGAAGAGGATGGTCTTCCTCCAAAGGGCCTCCTGAAATGTACAACTTCATTATTATCAACAGTATTTCAAGCATCTACTGGGAATGGGCCGGGGTGGTAAGAATAAGGCTGGTAAGAGTTTCCCTGATACTCAGAGAATGACAGATTGGGAAGGAACGACAGAGATCACATACTTCAATTCTCTTAATTCACAAATGTGAAAACACAGTCAAGCCAGAAGAGAAATCCCTTTCCTAAGATGACTACATATGGTAAGAACTTGATATAAGCAGGTCCTTTTGGCACCTCGTGGCTGATTTAATGTTTGTCCATCGATCTGTTGCTTAGTTACTCAATGATAGAGAAAGCAACGGATGTCTCATTTGCTCGGCTGAGTTTTCTAACTGCTTGGAGGATCACTGATATATGCCCTTCCTAAACCCATGAACTCTATTATCATCTCAATGCTATCAGCAAACACATGACCTTGGAGAGTTCCTACACAGACTAACTACTCCACTAACATTTGCTGAATTGAATTAAAAACATACCACCCCTAGTTTGGAGGAAAAAAACAGTGAATTGAGCTTTTTCAGTCAGTTTTTTGAGGTGTATGGGTTTTGTGGGTGGGTACAGAATCTTTAGTTATTCATTTGAAGGCAGTCAATACAGAGTGCTGAGACCAAGTGAGGGAATAAAGAGACACGTGGGTCATTGATGAGACCCGGGTTCTCAGATATGAACGGATACACAGCTGGGTGGCCAGGGTCAGCGGTATTACCTGAGAGTCAAACAGTCTGAAGTCTGAATTATGTCTATGGCTTTACACAACCGTGTGCAGCAGATGCATCAGTGAAATACCGTACCCGGCCATAAGATCTGGTTGTTGTATTAGCAGTGTGTACGCATGCTGGAGGGACTGGCTCACTCAATCCCACGGTTAAAGCACAGTATTCCTTGGGTGCCCATTATATGAGGAAGAACGATCAATTGTATCTCAAAGGCCTTTTGGAGGAGGTGGAAGAAGACAGAACAAGTAAGAATGTGATCACAAAAAATTGGTGATCCCTGCTTTATAGTGAAATCTCATTTTATATAAAAATATGTTTTAAGGTCCAACGGTTTTGAGAGACAAAATGTTGTGACAGTAAGCTTTTAGGATTTGCTCTCCTGTGATTTTTATGAACATGAAACTGAGTGTGAGAAAAATGCAGATTTTCATGCTCTCTGATTTCAATATGAAAAGTATCTTTGGACATAGGGCCTTGAGAACCTCTGACTATAAGGTCTGGGTCTGTTACAGAAGCAGTATGTTCAAGCATCTGCATCTCTAATGTTAAAAGCATTTTCCATGCAAATATTTTTGTGTGCTGCATTTTCCAGCGGGTGATGGAAATGGAAATGTGTTTTACCTGTTGGTGGTAAAGAAATGCTGTCCAGTCTTTCATCACCGTCAGCTACCTCTGCTGGTTACAAACATAAAACACAAACCTCATTAGTTTCAGAGAGCACATTCATTTTACTGAATATAGTAATACAATTAAACGAAACTCGAGTATACATAGCACTTTTCATTTTTCTCTTCCTTTTTCACATTCAGTTGGTTCACATTTAGTAAAATTTAGATGAAATTTATTGATGATGATAATGATATGAAGTCAATTTTCCTATATTGTTTAAAAAGAGTCTTATGAACCTCATTCTCTTAATCATCGATGATTTCAGTTCATTTTTATTTATTTACCTAGGCCTAAATATCTAGCCAGCATCTGGGGCTGTTTAAGGATGGTCACTGAAAGCACCCAGTTCAGTGAATTCTCTTTGTATGACAGAATCATATTTGCCTTCCCCAGAATCATTCCTGCGAAACCACCTTAGGAAATCTTGAGAATGAACCTTTCTTTGGCGATGACTGCAAATTCAGGTCCTAGAGCTGCCCATGTAACTTTGGTGTCAATTCCGTCACACACACACAAAAATCATGGAGAAGGAATGTGGATTTTTCCAAAAGACTCATTTCTGTGCTTTAAGATATAACCTTTGCTCATCTCTAGTAAATACTTCTCTTTTGTCTTCCAAAGGTAGATCCTTCAGTTAACAAAAATCCTCCCACTAAATACTAAGAAAGAAGGCATCTAGGGCTCCTGGAAACTGAAGGGCTTGTCAGTCTCCCCTATCATGCTGAGGACAAAAGAAAACATCGCACTGTACCACTGGGATAACTGGCAGTGCTCCCTGTGTCCCAGAGCTAGTCCCCGTGGAAACCCCTCGTGACTGCACTGCCCTTGTGCCGAGGAGGCCGACCTGGTGGCCTGTCTGATGAGGGCTACCATTTGCATCACACTATAACACTGAGTTGGTGGAAACAAGACAAATGCCACGTGTTGTTTTTATTGCTGTTGCCTTGAACGCAATCAGGGGTTACGTATGGGTAGATTTCCACCTCTACTTCCTCCTCTGACTCTCAGAAGGATACACGCTCGCCTTAGTGGAAGACCCTCTGCAGAGCTGCTAGATTCACTTCAGAGAGAAAACACTGAGAAGACAGGGACCACTCAAGACTGATTTGGATGGAGAAGAGTAGACACCAATGAAAGCGATGGTGTGGATGAATATTTAATAACATAAAATATTCAAGTCAAACAATAGGATACATGGCATAATTAAACTTTTGTAAACTGGTTTACAGAACAAAAATAGGACATACTAAAATGTTAATAACTGTTTCTAGATAAAAGGCTTTAGGTATTTAAATTTTTGCTCTTTGGGCCTTTTATGATTTTATATATTCAAAAATGCTGAACATAGGTGATTTTTATATTCAGAAGACATTATTCTCTTCTAATTGGTTTGAACAAAAGTGACTAGGTAGATTAGCTACGTGGTAGCTCTCTTGCCCAGGATTTCAAAACTTCTTCAGTAATAAGTAATAATTTGATAACAATGGCTGCCACCATTTATTAAAATCTTAACATTTACTGAGCACTCTATATGCAATGTCATTCAACCCTTAGAAAACCTTGTAAGGTAGGTCTTTTATTGGGATCATTTTAACAAACGAGACAAGAAGTAAAAAACTTTCTCAGGATAGTATAGCTAACAAGGGATGGTGCTAAGGATCTGAATTGGATTAATGTCTGGCTTCTTAATCTCTTTGCTTCTAATAATCCTAATATCACATGCATAATTGTGGGGTAAGTTTTAAAATCTTCAAGTTTGAGTTCATTTTATACTTCAGTAACTTTCTCTACAAGTATAACTGCTTCTCATTTAGCTATAACAAAACTCAGTTTGGGGCATAAGTTGATCTTTCTTTTGTCATTCAGCTATCCTCACTTTTTTTTTTTCCCTTTGGAGAGGTTTTTGCTATAGGGCGCATGTGCTCGCCAGAAAGACAGAGAGAGACAGGAAGCGAGAAATCACTCTCCAGGGGGATGGCCACGCTGCAATCCCTTCTCCTTCATTCTCCTCTCGGGATCCTGGGCACGCATGCACATGTGCCTGGCGTAAATTTAGCCACCAGGTCTGGGACTCGAACCACAGTCGACTACATGAGAATCCAGTGACATAGTCATTATGCCAACTGCTGGTCCTTATCCTCACCTTTTAAAAGCAGGCCTATGCAATTATATACTTTAGTAAGGACAGACCATACAGAACCAACAAAAACATATATATGCCATTATACGTAAATTAGTACATAGGCTAGCTGCATACATGAGGGCCAAGTGTCATGGAGGAAGAACATCACTGTGTTACTTAAATTTAATTATAACATCTGTCTATAACAACAAGGTCTCATTTTTTCTTCTGTAGTAACAATCAAGTTGTGAAATTTGAAAAAGACTGAGCAAGTCCAATAAAAATTTAATAGCAGTGACAGCTTTATTCATAGATCCCACACAAATAATAAATTGTGATTTCAGCTCAGAGGAAATAATCTAATGAAAGTGATAAAAATTCACACCAGGAAAGGAATCATTCCAGTTATAGGGAAAAAAAATTATTACAAGTGATGACAGCCCCAAATGAATTTCTATTTGGATTCTCCTAGCGGCCTTTTGAATCTGTGCGGGCACTTCTTTCTTCTACTGTGGGGCAGACTTCCTCAAGTGGTTAGTTGATTAGTGTGCCCAGCCAGAGCCTGTACCTTGTTCCAGGAACTGAGCCAAATACGATAAATAAGGCTGAAGTTGTGGAATATCTGTGAGACACTGTTTGTATTATCATTTAGACTGAAAATAATCAAGACAAAAAGCACGAGTGCAATGATGTTATTGATCCAGGTCTCTCGGTTCCTATCCGCATCGTGAAGGTTTTGAAAAGCAAGTGGCTGCGGTTTCCATTTGCAGGGGTCTCACTTCCATGCTGCTCAAGGAGAGTGAAGTGTAACATGATTTGACAAAATTGGGAGACAAACTCTATTTGGCAGGTCACTGCTGATGGGCTATCCTTCTGGTCTGGTTCGGTCTGTATGTCAAGGCTGGTTTTGTCTCACAGTCACCTCCCCTTCTCAGACGCTGGTGGAACTTGCTATAACTGCAGAAGACAAGTGCCAGCTGCCAATCACCAATATCTCTGCCGATCATCTCAACCCTGTGGTCCAAACTGCAAATGTCCTAAGTCAAATTTTCTGATGTCCAAGAACAAAAGTGAGTGTGGGTCTCCTAGGGGAAGGGATGGTGGGAACAGGCTACAGTCTGGGTCCCATTCTGGTAGAAACAGGCAAACGTGGGGGCGACAGGGGGGATGAGCATCTGTGATGTGAATTATTAAGAGAGATGCTGAGGTGGGTCAGAGATGTGCTTCTTGGCCACCCTGACTGGGAAGGAGGAAGCGACATGGAAGCACATCCTGACTGTGTGCAAGAGGACCCTCACCAGGTGTCCGTTTATTGTGGGCTTCCCAGCTTCAGTGAGCCAGTACAGTTCTGCCCAGTGTAAGCGACTCAGTCTGTGGTGTTCCGTTATAGCAACACAGAACAGTCAGAGGCAGGCAAACACAGTCTCGTGTATTTTATAGCACTTTTCATACACCTCTGTAATATACAAAATGTGTAACATTTCTGTACCTAAAGTCCATCTTCCAAACTGTCTCATACTCTGGTCACAGAAGCTCAGAAAGCCAGGGGTCTGATGTTTGATCTGATTTTTTTTAAACATTTATTTAATTGACAAAAATTGCATCTATTTAAGGGATACAACATGATGTTTTGAAATATGTATACATTGTAGAATGGCTAATTGAGCTAATTAACATATGCATTATTTCACATACTTTCATTCATGCTAAAAACACTTAGAATCTATTCTCTTAACAATTTTCAAATATATATTGTTATAGTCACTAGGTTGTACAATAGATATCCTGAACTTACTCCTCCTGTCTAACTGAGATTTTTAGTCCTTTGAGCGGTACCTTTCCAGTCCCCAGTAACCACTATGCTACTCTCTGCTCTAATAAGTTTGACTTTTTGGGATTCATTTAAGTGAGATGAGGAGGCATTTATTTTTCTGTTCCTGGGTTATTTCACTTATGTCCACTAGGTTCATCCACGTTGTCACAAATGACAGGATTTCCCTTTTAAAATGCTGAATGGTATTCCGTTGTGTGTATACACCACATTTTCTTTATCCATTCATTTTCTGACAGACCTTAGGTTGATCCCAAATCTTGGTTGTTGTGAACACTGCTTCAGTGAACAGTGTGCATCTCTCTGACATACTGATTTCATTTTCTTTTGGTAGATACCAAGAAGTGGGACTGCTAAATCATATAGGAGCTTTATTTTTAATTTTTTGGAGTAATCTCCATATTGTTTTCCATAATGGCTGTACCATTGATAGTTTATATGGAATTACAAATACATAAATAAATAAATAAATAAAGGTTTCTAGAGATCTGTGGCCACCTGGAGATAGTTACTCTTATAGGATGGGAGAAAACTAACCTCCAAGTAAATTAACCCACAGTTGTTTTGGGGAGGTTAAGACGTCAAATGACCAAATCTAAACAGTCACAATTCAACTGGTGTTCACTTTTCCTGGAAGAATAGTTTCAGAATCACCAGGCCTAGATTTTTAAACACACACACACACACACACACACACACATACACACAGACTTAAAATCCCTTTCTACTTTATGTGGTCTTTTTGATAGAATGATTATTGTTTGTGTGTTTTTTTTTCTTTTTTTTTTTTCATTAAGCAAGTAGTACTTTTATAAAATCAAACAGATCCAAGCAAACAAAAATCAATATGCTAACAGAAGCAAACCACAAGAGAGAGATCCAGTTTATACATAAGACATACACATCAGACTGCAAATGAGACCACTCTTTTTCACTGTACTGTTCAAAGCAAATGGCCTGATATATTGTAATTTTCACTATTTCATCTTGAGGTGAGTTTCAAAATTCATTTGAATAAGATAGCAAACCATAGCACATTTTATAAAGCTCCTCCTTCAAAAGACAAAAGTATTAGAGGAAAGTATTATATTTCATAAAGTCTAAGAATTCAATAAGGTACTTCCATAATTATTTTATTGTAGCTTATTCATACCTGAGCCTCTTTTTAACCTTCTTCTGGCCAGCTTAATTTGATCCTGTAGAATCTGTACCCAGTCTCTTGGGCCAGGAAGTTTATCCACATGGTTAGCAGTACAGTACTTTTCTGTGAAGACTGAAAGAAAAATTGTAATATTGTTAAATATTTTAGCACATAAATATGCACATCTGAAACAGGAATGCATCCCAAGAAGATAAAACTAAGTATATTTCTAAAAGATGTCGACTCTTCTACAAACGCATTGCATTCCTTTGGCAAAGGTGGAGATTGGCAGGGCCCTGGCTGCATATAATGCATTGTGCTTCAAAATGAAACTGGCTATAAATGCTAGGTAGTTCACATGGAAACACTACTTCTACTTGCTTCATCTCCAAGTATATGTGTCTTATGGCCAGAGAAGAAAACGCTTCCTATGGGCCCACTCCACTGGCCCTATGACAAAATTCAATAAATTTACTAAAAGCTTCTATGCTTTTGTTGTTCATCCAAAAATCAAATGCAAAACGACACAAAAAGATGATGTTCTCCTGGTGACCCTACTAACTCCATCAGCGTTCAGAATAAATAACACAGTTACGTCTTAATACAAGTTCCAGTTCCACTTTGAGGATTGTACTATTGCCTAGGAGAGAGCTACGCTATTAAGCACAAAGAAAACTATGGCGAATCAAACAGCAGGACAAAAGCGAGGCAGGACAATCGTCTCAGGATCGCCGCGCAGTGTGTGACTGCACTCGAGGTGCCCGTGTTGACATTTCTGCCTCACACTCTGCTCCCCAGCACTTTCAAACTCGTCTTTTCAACTCGCTCTCCGTAAGGTCAATACCTAGTACAGGGTTGCATCACTTTGCCTTCTTGGTATTTAAAATATTGGTAATTTTAATGTTTTAAAAGGTTTCTTTAAAAAAGGAATGGTAAAGGAAAATAGTGACAGATCCAACTGTAAAAATATGTAAAATTTCCACTGAATGAAAAATAAACATTAGGATGAGAAAAGCTAGCTGCACTAAATAGGACTGGAAAGGCTCAATGTCTGCCACCAGACAAAAAGCTCATTCAAATAAAAGAGCAACTTGGAAAGTCACGGTAGATAAATGGACAAAGCATAGTTAGCAAAGCACAGGATGCATGTTCACCTGGTATGTCAAAGAACTATGAAACACACTTTAAACCCAGTAAGTTAGAAAAACAATGTGGAAAAAGCGAATACTTGATACCGATAAAATTGTGGGGACCTGACCCATTCGAACATGACCTGTTGCATAAACTGGCAAAACCCTTCTGAGAAATGAGAGGAAGACATAGCAAGAGACATAAAACTGCTACACCTCTGGACTAGCAATCATCCTTCCTGAAATTTACCCTAAGGAAATATTTTGAAAGAAGAAGGAAAGCCATACATGTGATCTGTACTATCAAACAAATGCCACTGACCCAACTGTGCACTAAGAGAGATGGCAGTTACGGGGAGAACAGGTTCAAGGGGGTCAGGGTGGAAGCCATGCCAACAGTCTGAGCTAGTGAAGTTTCTAGGGCAGAGATCTGCCTTTTGTGTGTGTGCTAGAGGGTGCATGCACTTGCCAGAGAGAGAGACAGAAAGAGAGAAAAGAAAGCACCTACCAAGGAGAACGGTCATACCACAATCCCTTCTCCTCCACTTCTCCCTCCTTTTAGGATTTTGGGCACACATACACACACATACTGGATGTGTTTCTCAAGCCACCAGGTCTAGGATTTGAACTGTATGGTTGGCCATATGGGCTCTGTCTGCCTTAACCACAATGCCACAGAGCCAGCCCTAAGAACACACATTTTTGGTGAGTCATATGATACAGTAAGTAGAGAAGGGCAAGTCTGTGGAGTGAGAGACAGCAGGTTGGTTTGGGGTGTCTTCCATGGAGCACCTCCATGGAAGTGGCGAGCAGGTGTTAGAGAAACCAATGGTTCAGAGCAAGGGGCTAAGCTAGACACACACTGGCTTAAGAGGCACAAACATGTACCTGCTAGGTAAACCATGAGAGAAAGAACATTAACCAGGGAGAACAGAGGTGAGAAGAGCACAGGCCAGCCCAGCCACAGGGAACACCATCACCGGCGAGGAGCTGAAGACAGAGGAGCCGAGGGAGGAGTCCGAGGCAACTGGCTGAAAGTCAGGTCAGTTGGGCAGAGCTGTCCATTACATGCGGGCTGACCAGCCATGCTTCTAGAGGAGGAGTAATGGAGAAGGGGGCAGGGAGGGCGGTTTGGAAAGCGCTCACTGAAGGTCTGCGAGAGCAGGGAGAGTGGCCTTAGGAGACACTCAAAACCCTAGGCTCAGAGCAGAAGCATGAAGATAGGAACAAAGAGGGTTCAGGGCGGGAGGACATGAGCATGACGGGTCGGCTGAGGAAGCAGCTGGGGGCAGAGCGTACAGGACGAAAGGAAAAGGAGGGGAGCACCAAAGGAAGCATCCAGGAAGACTGGGGAATGGTGGGGCCCAGAACAGAAAAGAGGGGTACCCTCCACAGGAGGGAGATGCTGTCCTCTGGAACCAGAAGGTAGGAAAGCTGGGTTGATGTGGGGGCGTTCTAGGCTGTAGTGATCACTCTTGAGCTCTTTGTGAACGCAACGGTGAGGGGCTCTCGAGGATGGGGGTATGGGGAAAGTTCACTCATCCCGGAGAACAGGAGAAGCAGCACACTGAGGACAAGGCACGAGGCTGCCAGGCAGCAGCCGGGTTTCATGTCTGGGCTGACAACAGTGACATGGGCAGTACTTTTCTCCCTCGGTACCTTGCAGGTCCTATTTAGGATGCTGGACTGGTCTAGGGCTAGGATTCTGGTGGGCAGTTTTGGCGTAACAGGCTAGAAGACACTCAAGATGCCTGTGAAGACATTACCTAGGCTGATCTCATCGTTCCGCCTTGTCCCCCACCTCAGCACCCCAGGAAAGAAGTGAAACCCCCACCCCCCCCAAAAAAAGCTCCTAGATTTGGGACTATCTACAGAGATCAGGAACAGAGATACCAATGGAATTGGCAGGCAGGGGTCATGGCACAGGGCCCACTGAGAGACTGGAGTGTAGACAGTGGCAGTGGAGCTGTGTGTGAGAGGTGAAGGTGTGGTTGACGGCACAGAATGAAACGTGGAAGAGGTGACTGTCACCACAGGTGAGGCCGGGGCCTACGTGACCAGGGGTCCAGTGACTCTGTAATGTGGACACTGAAGTTAACGAGATGACAGCAGGACTTGGGCTCAAGAGGAAAACAGAGCCTTAATGGGAGGGGTCCCACTGCAGCTCTGACTGAGCACAGGCGAAGGGATGATTAGGAAGCAGAATTAAGAATAGGGACAAGTAACCACCAGGCTGTCCTGGTGAGATAGGGGCATGGAAGAGGTGCAGAAGAAACCATACCCTTGGGGGGTAGGTGTGCTCTTAAGTCCTCCACCAGGTTAGAAATAACTGCAAGGCCTTCATTTCTTTCACCTCTCTCAAGGAACTTTATACTGAATAGAAACTCAATAAACATTCAATGAACAAACGTATTTTCCAGTTTCATTTCTAATGGAAACAAATATAATAGGTCACAAATTTAGACTAACTGGGGGAGAACCACCTATCTAAATTAGAAGGAAATCTTAGTTAATAGAATATATTTACAGAAACAAGGTTTATTGTATTTAGATGTTCACATTAACATTTACTAACCAGAGAACTGCCCAAAGTCCCTAAAGTCTGTTTCATGTTTTGCTTTTTATTGCCAGAGGATGTGTGCTCTAGACAATGAGAGGAGACAGACAGAGAGGGTAAACACCCCACCAATAGGATGTGTCCATGCTGCATTTGTTCCTCCTCCACTTCTCCCTTCTCCATTCCATCAGGATTTGGGGCATGCACGCACGTGTGCACATGCCCGGTGTGTTTTGCAAACTGCTGGGGCTGAGACTTGAATCACAGTTGGACAATTGGGATCCAGCTTTCCACAGATAACACATAATCTCTGTGTTATGGGGCCAGTCCCTAAAGTTTTGTTTTAGTAAACAGAGTATTTTAGTTTCCTGTCTGCTTATATGTAATATATATTGGAGCAGCCAGGTGGCATAGTGGTTAAGGCAGCTTGATGGCCAACTGTATGGTTTTAATCCCAGACCCAGCAGCCTGAAAAAGCACACCAGGGGCATGTGTGTGAGTGCCCAAAGTCCCAAGAGGAAAATGGAAGAGAAGGGAGTGTATCCCACAGGAGGGATACACTCTCTGGTGAGTGCATATGCCCTATAGCAAACTAAAAGAAAAAAGAAGTATATTAAAAAAAGAATGGACTATACTATCTTTGTAGATAAATGTCTTCCCACTTATATTATTTATATAATTAATTTCCATAGCAACCTCTCTTTTCTTAGATTGTGAAATGCATGAGTCCAAGTTATCACACATTAGCGAGTACTGGTTCCAAATTAACAAAGTAGATTTGGACTCTGTTAACATCAGAATGACTCCCTGTGTGTCAACAATCAAGTTTAGGAGAACCAAAGGAATGGCTGGGGAGTGTTTCCTTCTGCTCCACTAGGGGCTTCATACCAGACCTTACTAATCTAACCTTGAGCTCAAGTACTCTGTCTGTTCTGTAAAAAAGCAACAATTTCAGGTTATTTCTTTCTCCTTTCAGTTAAAACTTATCTGGCTTCAACAGAAAGAAGCCAGGAAAATCACCGTCTCCTGGGTCTGTGTCTAAGACCTTTGAAGACACAGTAATAGGCTTCTCGAAAAATACCTATACAAACAGATATCTCCACTGGGTACATTATTGACATTCTAGTTCATGGATTACACCCAAACTTAAAAGAGACTTTTAACTAGAATTTACCTACTGAAGGCGAAATCCTATTCTCTCCATTACAATCGCAGATGAGGCCTTAGAACATGGCCAAAAGATTGTCATTGCATTGATCTGAAAACAGTCAATATGCCACGTGAATAGAGGTATTGAGTAAGCAGAATATACTTTTGCTATCTGAATGTATAGCTAAAGGTCAAGCTATTATCCTGGTAACAGTTCCATTAGGAGTAATGATGTGAAAAGAGGTATTGCATTAATGCACTGGGTTACCTACTATGCTAATAGTAGGTCATTAAGA